ATCGATTTGTTGTTGCAGCCCTAATATCAACGTTTCACTACTGCTCTCTAATGAGAATATTTTAGTGGCACTCATCAGATTGAACTATCTGGAAATTAAAGGCGCCAATAAAGTTAAAGCTGATATATTTTTCTCCTTTTTATTTCAAAAAATATGCTGCAGTTTACTGTTTTAATGAGTGTTTGGCTACGTAAAACAAATGGCTCATCTTGGCCACATGAGCTCTCTATGGCCAAGAACCTGGAAAATCACTCATGTTACAATGATAAAAATTGCATAAGTTTTTTTTTTTTTTTTAAACACTTCTGCTTAGCCACTTGGCTAGTCCCTTTCCATCACACACTGCTAGGTGGGTAGTTTTAGTTTTACCAATTTACATACAGCATCTGGCTAAAGTGAGTTGGGATTTACACTGATGTTAGATATTTTCACTTGCATACTGCAGGAGGGAAATGAGTGATTCACCTGAATGTGAGTCCTCAGGTTGGTGTTGGATGTCCTGGTTTATTTATTTTTTTATTGCAAAGCAGACATCCGTACACTTATTTTTTATCTGAGGATTCAACAAGTTTCATAATCTGTGAAGATAAGGCCACGGTGTGGTAGGGACAGTCTGCTCCTGTCTCCTCCTCCATCCTGTGTGTCATTCATTGAGTTCCACTGCAGTTCTCATGCGCATGTTTCGTAGATACAGACAGGAGAGGCAGAACAGAGGCTCATGCATGAATGTCCAACGAATAACTCTGATCGTTGTTTCAAAAATAGAAAACCTGGTTTCATTTCTTAGTTATGCCCTGGATTTTATAGCATCTCTGGACGCTACGTCGCTACTTGATCAAAGCAATAACGTCACTACAGGAAAGTTACTTGATAAATAAAGCAGCGACGCTACGGTCAAGCTACTGGAAGCTAGTTAAACCAATAGCTTTGCTACATGTAGCGGCGCTACTGCCCATCACTGATGATGACCCACACTGNGCTACATGTAGCGGCGCTACTGCCCATCACTGATGATGACCCACACTGTGTATGGTAGTCAGTCTGTGGGAAATAGCTCAACGTTTGCTGAATCTGGAGCTGGAAGTGTAGAAAAGTCTGGAAGTGGGATATATTGTTGGTCGGTCTGTAGTTGGTCTGTAGACCAGAGCCGTTCTGCTCCATCCAGTGTGCTTCTTTCTCTCAGGGCTTCCACTACCCCCTGTTCATGACGCTGGTTCACCTGGCCGTCATCTTCTGTGCGGCGGCGATGACGCGGCGGGCCATGCATCGCTGGACGGGGAAACCCCGCGTGACTCTGGCCTGGAAAGACTACCTCCGTAAGGTGGCTCCTACAGGTGGGTTCCTGGTTCCTCTGAGCTGAAATGTTTAGACTGATCTGCCGGAGGTGACGGTCTGCCTTTATCGCGTCCACTCATAGATCGTCTGTGAACTTTGACTAAAATCCATGTGGCTAAGTTTTGCCACACGTCATTCTCAGAGAGCAAAGAGATAAAGCAGGAAATGGTCCTAAAGCCACACATCTACCGCCTTCAGCTGGATTTTATCTGGAGGCGTCTGAGTGAAGGGGGCAGATTTCATTTCACATCTCTTCTCCTGGTTCTTCTACTGTTCTGATGTGGATGACTTTGTGCAGCTTAAATGTCCTGAACTCTTTGCACAGCCTTAGCTACAGCGCTGGACATCGGCCTCTCCAACTGGAGCTTCCTCTTCATCACCATCAGTCTGTAAGTGGAAAGAGAAGAGCGTCGCGGCTGCTGTAACGTCCCTCCTGATGTTTGCTTCTGCTTGAAGGTACACCATGACCAAGTCCTCAGCCGTGCTCTTCATCCTCTTCTTCTCCCTGGTCTTCAAACTGGAGGAACCGGTGAGCTCCCAGGATTTAGGCCACATTAATGGCGTCAGCAGCTTCCAGCATGAAGGTCTGGAGTCCTGCTGGTTCTAATGGTTCTACCCAGGACGGCCCGGTCAGTGTGATACCAACCTGTGCTGAGTAACTGAGGCCTGGTTCTGCTGGAACAGATGCAGTGGTTCTCCTGCATCCATCATGAACTAAGCAGCAGTACGGCGTCCGGCTCACTCTGCAGCGGTTGGTACCAGAGAACCGGGCGTCCAAACCATTAAAACCAGCAAAGGTTGAGCGTTTACCGTC